AGAGGTTTAAAACGAAAAATCTTGATAATAATTGTATTTGTAAATAATTGTTATTGTATAATTCATTGAAAAAGCGGCAAGAAAAATATGTCCAGGATCCCCTGCTTCAACATCTATTGGGGGCAAACCCTAGCCGCTTACCGGCAGAGTCAAACCAGAACTCGAAACCCTGCTGCTGAATATTCCCGATTATTGACACACCGTCCGCGGCTGCAAACGCAAAGCAGTAAGTACCATTGGTGTCCACCGGAAACAAGCAATTAATCCGCGACAACTCCATCACGGCCCCACCCTCGAAGTGCAGAGCCACGGTGGGTACCTCCACGTGACCCTTCCCGGACAAATCGAAGCACGTGTCCAGCAACGAGTAATTGGAGGATGGCTTGAGGCTGAACTTGGCCACGAAGGCTTTCCTCAGTGCCTTGTACGCCAGCCCCGGCAGCCGGCTGACCGTCGTGCCCGAATCCACGATGGTCCCACCCGACCCGTCGGAGTGTATCTCGAAATCTGATTGATGAATACCGACCACATTTTCGCCTCCCACCGAAATTCCTCGGAGGCCAACGTAGTAATAAGTGCTGGGAATCTTGGGATTGTCCTTAAGAGGGGTGAACTGGGTTTTTGTGGCTGGCGGGGATCCAAACCGGATCCAAGACGTCCTATTGGGCTGCTCAAACAAGAGGTCGGCCAGGCAGTAGGAGAAGTTGGTCCGGGCCTGGCTTGGGAAGGACAGCTTCCCCGGGCCCAGGCCCAACAGGCCCGCAGCCGCCGCGTAGAGGCCCTCGTTGTCATGCCCACAGCCCAGTGCAACGCGGGGCACCCTCTTTTTCCCGCCGAACCACAGTGTCTCTGTAGCGAGGTCGCCAAACGAGAACGATCCATCGCCGTATCCGATTTTGTAGCGGCACATGTGGTGGGCAGTGCAGTTGTCGGACATGTAGTCGAGGTCGAGCTGGCGGCAGGGCTCGGAGGCACAACGCACGCGAGAGTACGAGGTGGATCGGGTCGGGTTGAAAAGCGGGTCGGACTGATTGTAGCAGTATTTGCACGGGCGGCACTGGAGCCAGATGAGGTCGCTCCCCGTGTCGGCGAGCATGTAAAAGTGCTTAGGTGGCGTGCCGAGCGCCATGCGGGCAAAGTACTCACCCATCCCGAGGGGAAATCCGGAGATCATCGGGGAAGAGAGTGACTGGGCCCTGTGTTGGTCGCGGTGGAGACGGTGTCTGAGGAGAGACTGTCGGGTCGGGTTGGAATGGGCGGGTAGGATGCGGTCTCTGTGGAGCAGGTCTAGCGAGAGAATAGTGTCTGTGGAGAAGGAAATTGAAATGGAGAGGAAAAAGACAAACAAAATGAACGACAAAACTGGTTTTGGTCGTCGGTTCTCCATTTTGGGATGGCTGGTCTTTAATCGGTAAAATGGAGTGTCGGATTTGGGCTTTGTCGGGGCGGAGTATAAATAGCCACGGAACAGTATGTGAGAACACGCCATTTTGTAATGTCAATGCGCCTGAAAATTCATAACATGCGGACTCTTTTGTTAAATCAAAATTATATGTTTTTTACTATATTATAAAGGTAAGATGAAATATCTTTTTTGACTTAATAAACCGAGAAGAATAAGAGTCCTATTCAATTTTAAATTGATGATCAAAACTACAAATTTGGTATATATTTATTTAATTTAAGATTAATTGTTAAAATAATCAGGCCTTTCTTCATAAGACATATGCCATAAATACACAAATTATGTGTGATTTTTTTTTCCAACGACAAAAACGATAAAATCTATTAACACAAAGGAGCGTACATCGATACCTAATTTTGCTTGAGATTATTTTAGATCACAAGACTCATTAATAATAGATTTTTTTTCTTTTTTAAGGGGACTCATTATCAATTAATTCAGTGTTAATAGTTCTTGCTATTACTTTTCGATCCCACGAAATTGCATATCTTGCATGCTTTGCTATTTCAAATTTTTTTATTTTAAGATGTTACATGTATCATATATTCAATTTAATTAAATCTTATATTAAAAAGAAAAAACACTAAATCTAGGTGTATATATATTTAGGGGGCGGATCAAATGCGGCCAGCTCTTAAAATGCGTCCAGCTCTTAAAATGCGGACAGCTCTTAGCAACTACAGACAACTAACCTAGCAATTACAGACAACTAACCTAGCAATTACAGACAACTAACCTAGCAATTACAGAGAACTAACCTAGCAACTACAGAGAACTAACATAACAACTACAGAGAATTAACCTAGCAACTAGTAACCTAGCAACTACAGAGAACTAACCTAGCAACTACAAAGAACTAACTTAGCAATTACAGAGAACTAACCTAACAATTACAGAAACTAACCTAGCAACTACTAACCTAGTAACTACAGAGAACTAACCTAGCAACTACATAGAACTAACCTAGAAACTACGGGAAAAATTCAAAATTAGTCCCACAGATATAGGGGGGTGACAATTTTGGTCCCGACGGAATGCACAAATTATGAATAGTCCCACAACTTTTAAAAAATAATCAAAAGTAGGACTTTTTCGCCGGATTTACTATTTCCGGCCCGGAACGCCACGTGGCGCACACGTGGCTTATTCTTTACACGCTGGCGCACACATGGCGCACACGTGGCTTAGTTTTGAATTTTTTTCTAGATAGGGAAAAATTCAAAACTAGTCCCACAAGTTTAGAGGAGTGACATTTTTGGTCCCGATAGAATGCAGAAAATTCAAAACTAGTCCCACAACTTGTAAAAAAATATGAACACGTCAGATGCCACATGGCGTTCCGGGCCGGAAATAGTAAATCCGGCGAAAAAGTCCTACTTTTAATCATTTTTTAAAAGTTGTGGGACTATTCATATTTTCTGCATTCCATTGGGACCAAAATTGTCACCCCCCCTATACCTGTGGGACTAGCTTTGAAATTTTCCCTAGAAACTACTAACTAGCAGCAAGAAAGAACTAACCTAGCAAAAATGCTCTCACTTCTCTCTACATTTCTCTCTCTAGAATTTACCCACTTCATCTCCACCCTCAACCTCCTTCCGCCACCACTACCGCATAGTTCCCACCGGTCGCCATCGCCGGCGGCCTAGCCCCGGGCCGTCAGGCCTTTCTTTTTTTTTCGGATTTGAAGCTCAAGGCCGTACGCTTCTATGGCCCCATCCCGTCTCTCTTTACCATCGACCTCCCCTCCCCTCAACCAAGCTCCGGCTAACTTCAACCAAGCTCCGGCCAACCTCACGCCGGCGCTTCTTACCCTTTTTCAGAGCCCAGATTTTCAACAAACTATCACGACCTATTTGGACAGAACATCTCGCTTGGAAGATGGGGAAGTTCCCTCTGCGCCCGGAAATCCGAGTGGCTCCGTCGCCAATATGTCAGACCTCCGCCCGGTGGAATATCGACGGCCGGTTTCTCCTAGATCTTTGCCGTCGGACTTCAGCTCACCGGTCAACCCAAATCCTCAAGGCGACGACTCAGTGAGCACAAACCCTCAGATGAAGGATCTGCCGTCGTCCTCCCAGCGGGCCTACCGACCAACGAACTCCGGCCTTTTGAAGATCTCAGGGGACGACTCTACTACACCCAACGAATCTCTCGTCGGCCACGTCGCCCCTCTGCTCCTCTCTCAGATTCGCACCCTCCGACAAAGGTAGATCCTTCTTCCTCAGCCTTGAGCTCCCAGAATCGTACAGATGGAGGCGCACCTATGGCTCTCCCAAACCCTCAGCTGGCGGCCTTTAGGGCCTCTTCTGGGCCGCTCCCGAGGCCCATCTCGGCGCCTTTCCTCTCCATTGGGCCAACTTCCCAGGCTTAAAAACATAACAACCCAGCATTTACCCACCTCCCTGGCCCACCCTACCCAACCCACATATCCAACTCACTTACAGCTAGCCCAACCTACTGCGCCCCGGCCAATCCTACATATTTGGGCCTCCCTCTTTTTGGGCCCTCCCCTCAGCCCATTTCCCAGTCCTTTCAACCCATCACTCAGCACATAACTTCCGCACCTCCTCAGCCCATCGAGCCCGCAACCTCCATACCCGCCTTTCAGTCCCCCTCCTCCCTTCCCATCTTCCAATCTACTATCGACCAGCATGCTGACTCCAGCAGACCAGCGGCGGCCCACCGGCGTCCGGCAAGCCCACCGACAACGTCTCCGGCAGCTGCATCACCGCCAGCACCCCATCTCCGGCGGCCGACCTTCTTGGTCCCGGTCCCATTTTACCGGCAAACTCTACTGTAACGCCCCACTTTATTTTGAAATATTTATCGAATTTATTTAACAAAAAAATCACAATAATTTAATTTT